AGATAATGTGTGGGGGTTGAATGTCTGTGTCCACTGTCCACACATAAACTTTGAAGAAAGAGAAGATTGCAGTTGGTAACTAGGTCTTTAAAGCTAGGAGCGCTCTTGTAGGGAAGTAATAAATAATGACAAGACAAAAAGTTAAAAAGTTAGTTGTGTACTACATTTTGTATATTAACATGTGACTCTGTCTTTGGTGTTTTCCTGTGTTTTCACTTTTATTCTATTCATCTTTTGTATCCTGATTATATTATATATCCACAGGCAGAGCTTTATGTAATGAAGTCCCTCTATCCTGTCCTGTAAATGTACCCAGCACTCTGCTCTTTTGTTTCTCTCCATTTTTCTTTAATGATCTGAGATTTGTTCAGATTTATTTTTTAAATGTCTTTCTCTCTGTTATGGACACAGTATCTTAAATCAACCTCTCACTTTCATACATGCGTGCAATTGTACCATGGCTAAATGTCTCTTCCACTTTTTCTCCCCGCTTTCTGAAATGTGTCTTCATTTCCACAGCTCCTTGTCCTGTCTTCTGATATTTGTAACTGCTTTTCTCTTTAAGTTTTTCTGTCCTTTTTGGCCATTTCATTGTTTTTGATTTCAACCAACGTTTTGATATCTAAAACACATGCTTCAGAAGTTGATATTCAATGCAAAGCACTGGTTACACAACTCATTCAATTTGGGGAAATTCTGCAGCAACAGCAATTTATTAAAAACCAAGCAGACATGTAGCTGGAGAAGTTAACCAAAGTCATATTTTTCTTTGGTGTACTTTGACTTTAAAACTCACAATAATGACAAATGTTAATGTCATGAATCCACCCTGATTTAACCTTCTTTGTTAGAGTGCTAACAGGGGTTATGAGAAAGGACTGGTTGCTACGATATATTTCTATTTGCTATTTTTTTGCCTCATTTTTCCTGTTTCTCAAACTGTATTTGTCTTATTCTAGACTGCTCAGAGAGATGCATCATTGATTGACATCAAGACTTTAATCTTGTACCTTCAAGGGTTTTTTTTTTTTTAAAGCCATGTGAATTTAAAGATCCTTTAGTGACCAAGCTAACGAGCTAGCTAAATATTTGTTAAGAAGCTAATCATCTTGTAGAGCTTTTCTTTTTTAATCTTTAAAGAACTTGTTAACAGGCTCAGAAACCTGGGTACAAAGAGGGGCTTATTTGGAGTAGACAACCAAAAGAATCTAAATGATTGTGACTAGTGATTGCATGTGATGGTCACTGAGCATGTTAGTGTTTATATTTTTATCTACAAGATTTCACCAAGCTTCTAAAACTTAAACGAAAATGCTAAGATGCACTAATAAATCCCTAATTTCTCCATCTGGCCGTCTCTGCTCTCTTGTTGTTCTTTTATATCAACATTGAATACTAGTACAGCGATTGGGAGAAATAGAGGAAAGGCCAGAACAAAAGACACAGAGGACTGGGAAGGAAAGTGAGGTTCGAATTAGCTGAGAAAAGGGTGAGTAAAGGTGGGGGGGGGGGGAGAGAGGGGGAAACAGAACAAAGACAACTGCATGAGAGGAAGAAATTAACGCCCTCCCAATCCTCCTCTCTCATTTTCCTTACTCGCCTTTTTTTTGTTGTAACATCTTCCCCCTTTCTCTAATTGTCAGGAATGCTGACCTCAGCTCAGCCAACTCTCTTTCCCACTTAATCTAATCATCACTCCGTTATTTCACTCCTCCTCTTCCCCCTATTGTTCCCTTCCTCCTCGTCTCCATCTATCCTCCTTGTGGCTCCTCTGTAACCCCGCTGCAGCAGACAGAGTGAGAAACAAATGAGCGCGAGTGAAGCGAGGTGGAAAATCTGCTGAGTCATGCTTAGCAGAAAAATCATTTCATCGTGATAAGGCTCAGGGGAATATTAGATTGGATTATTGTTTCGTCTTTGCCTCCAGTAGTGAAAGAAGAACCTTTGTTGTTATCTCTGCATTTATCAGAAAAGGAAAAGTTGCTGAGTCATGGTCGGATAAGAACTATTTCATCATGATTAATAATTACATTCGTTCCCCCCCCCTCCTCTTTTTTCCATAAAGAACAGAGAGTATGTTAGTAAGTGGAAAATTACAGATGACAATGAAAAGAGTCTGAGTCCAGCCCTGCAGGGAATCATTTCATTCTGATAAGTCTCCAGAGAAGAATTCATTACATTTGAGCCTCTTTTTTTTCTTTTTTTTTCCACTTTTGGCAGTAACAGAGAAGTCATGATTATCATAACCAAATAATGATGAACAGTTAAGTGCGTAAAGACGGAAACAAAAAATAAAACATCCATAACTCTTAGAAAAGAACCACTGAAATCCTTGTAGACTTAAAGAAACGTTTAAGCGTTAAAGTGCATAATCTGTAATTAAATACTAGGCTGTTGAACTGACATTATTGAACCCTCTTTTATTGTTCTTTCCATATAATTTTTCCAATATAATTTAGTGTTTGTGTTTCTGTAATGTCACTTAAGATTCTCTAATAAGAAACCTCGGAAAATACCAAACCACCGTCATCCTGAGCTTTCCAAAGCCACTGATATGACGAGCCAGAATATAAAAAGACGTCCATAAAAGAAGGCAGTTCTAGCCACACAGATGGAGAACAATTGTTGAGGCCAGGGCCACACATACACCACCTGTAAATGTTAACCACATGTGTCTCTCGCAGGGGCAGATGGTGCTATATTCCTCACCTCCCCCCTCTTGTTCCATTTCATAAATATTACGACCCTTCCCTCGTCTTTTTTTTTTATTTCTCACACTCTTCATCATAACTTCTCTCCGTTTTTCTCATGGCTCACCGTACTACCGAAGGAAAAAAGTGAATAAAAGTACGCAGGAAAAGACTGTGAGAAAGAGGGGAGACGATGAAGAGTGAAGAGAGCTGAGGTCACCTTGATCTACAGCCTTCTCGGCTTCACTGCAGCTGGGGCTCAAAGGGCAACAGGCAGGAAGAACTTTCAGGGACACTCACATATATTCTTAACTCACACACGTTTTTTACATCTTTAATATTTTCTGCATGCATCAAACTATATGCATCAGATTCTGTTGTCTTTGCTGTAAACTTTTCTTTAAAACGTTAAGTTTTACAAGTTGTATTCCTCTAATAAACACAGCAGCTGGCTGGCTTTGTGACAGAAGGTTGTAATTGTTTGAAAAGAAAAAAAAAACATTTGCACAATCCTTCACATCAACCGACAAACAGCCATTAATCACTTTAGAAATGTAGCTTAGAGTAAATAACTATTGTTTTGTTTTTCAATGCTTCAACTTGAAAAAATGACTATAAGTAGTTTATATTCTTTTTCATTACAGGAATGATATGGCCAAAATAACATGGTTGCAATGTTTAATCAAAAGCCCTATGTAGCACATGCACTCACACACCCACTGCAGAAATTTTCAGGACAGCCTGCCCTTGACATTTTCCTGAGTAGCTCTTTCACATATGTTCTTCACAGTGGGAGATTTTCCCTTTCGGATGGGGAGGACTCAGAGGCGAGACGTGGAAAAAGTCAGGATATCGTGGAGTTATAAAATCCTTTTTCACTCCGGGATTTCTAAACAATTTTCCCAAGTTTCAATAAGAGCTGCAACTGCTGGGAACTTCTTGAAGCTTTTCAGGAGTTTTTCCACACGTGTGAAAAGGCTTAAAGACAAGATATCCTGTATCCTTTAGTACACAAAGGAAAAAAATAAAAGTCACACAATCTGACCAGATGTGTTATCTTTTATCCACCAGATGATTATGTTTGACTGAATCTGGTTTATTGTGTTTTTGAATTGAGCCTCTTATTGCATGGTACTCTAGCAGTAAAACCTTATGGTTGTGGTGTTTAGAACCCAGATTCAAACCAGACATGTCAGCGACATTTAAGCACTTGTGAAACATCCATTCATTCCAAAAACCACAGACTCTGAACTCCGATTGACTGACAGGTGATGCCTGTCAAAAAAAACACAAAAATAGCAGTTTTGATTCTGCAGCACACAGGTAAAAGTGGACCAAATCCAAAGTTTAAAGCTAACTTATTTTGTCAGTTTGTACTTTAAAATAAACTTTCTGTTTACACCTGCCAGAAGTTTACAGCTCACCAAGTCATTTACATCATCTCAGATTTATACTTTAAATTTGGTGCCGCTACTCTGTCTCCGTCCCATTTGTCAGGCAGGTATCAGTGTCAAAGTGTGTGTCTGTGTCACTCTGAAGGAGGCAGCTACAAATACACAGCAGTCTCCGCTCACTGCATGGTAACGCACACACACACACACACACTTACGGGAATATTGAGGAAGTCTTGGCTGTGATCTGTCTTTGAAGGACTGAAAATTATAACACCATAGAGAGAAAGAGAGAGAGACCAAGAAGAGGGCAAAAAACGCTCACACACACATTGACATACGTACACTCAATCACACACTGACATAGCAGCAGACAGTGGAGTCTCTGTGTTGTCAGTAACCACCTTCGAGACCCTGAGGTGTCATAAATGACTTCAAATAGGACTGAGAGTCAGAGGGATGAGGGAGGAAGAGAGACGAGAGTGATTCGTGTTATAATGACTTCATTTGACACAGCGACTCTCCAACACCTCCTGACTTTCACTTAAACACCGAGTCTAACTCTTTGTCACACGCACACATGCGATTTCACTCTTTCTGAGTGCAACATTTTTCTCAGTGAATCCATTTAAGCTGCTTCAATCCATAAAATGAATTTTGGGCAATATTCAGTTGCAGCTTAAGAAGTGCTACATCGTATCGATCTGGGTGGTTTGAGGATTACAACTCCATTACTTTTATTTGAACTGCCGTTTATTTTCACAGTTGGTTGATCGAGACAAAAAGAAGGAAACACAAAGTGCCCAGTCTCAGTTTTATATTAGGATCTTTGTCTCCATGTGTATGGTGCTTGGCATAATGTGTGTTTGAAGGTTGGTTGCTGGATGCATGGACTATACATTGGCATAGATAATACCTGGAAATAGATATAAAGGGAGAAGATACAGTGCAGTTTATGAAAAACAGTGAAGAGGAAATCCAACAAACTCTCAGCCGACACATCCACTGAGGAGTTGGTTAATTCACTAGACCCACAAAAACCTTCACTGTGTGTGTGTGTGTATTTGTGTGTGTGTGTGTGTGTGTGTGTGTGTGTGAATAAAACCTCTATGTGGAACCACAGGGCATTTGGTTATGTTTATATCCTTGTTTTTGGCCTGGGTGAGTGTGCAAACATCAGTATGTGTGTGTGTGTGTGTGTGTGTCTGTATGTACAGATTTGTGTGTTTGAGCTCTGTGAAGGTGTATCCATACCAGAGAGGTGACGTGTATATCTGTGGAGGGAAAATGTAAATAAATGCAGATTTACATGAAAGTGTTGTCAGCAGAGATTTGTTGAGCATTTGAACTCTGTGTGTGTTTATGTGTGGAGAGTGAGGGAGGGGTCGGTGAATCCTAAATTTACCCCCCGGTGGTCGGAGAAGTGTGGTCACATCTGGACTCAGTTTCTCTCTGCATCTCTTTTTTTTTTTCCTCCTCCACTCGCCTCACCTGTTTAAGTAACTGAACACGGACCTTTTCTTGGATGTCAAAGTGTGAGTGTGTTCACAGTTATCTTACCTGCTGTTTGAGCTGATGGACCAGACCGTCCTTCTCCCTCTTCAGAGCTGCCACCTCATCCTGGGTTTTCTTCTTCTTGGAGGAGGAGAGCTCCAGCAGGGCGATGTTGGCGTCTTTCTCACTTATGGCTGCCAGCAGTGCCTCTTGCCTGCACAATGATCAACAAAAAGTGTTGTTAGAAACACTAGAAATCAACTTGATTGATAACACTTGATGATTTTGCATTCAGTGGTTAGAATAGCATTTACATTTTCACAAGAATCATCTTTTGAAATGTTCTGTGGAATGTTCTGATTAACAGTGACACAAGATGTTCCTGCAATATGTTTTAAAATGTCATCTTTAAAACGTAATAGGAACACCGCACATTTTTTTTCCAGTTGCCTCCCTTGTATTGGGGTCGAGGACAAAAAATCCCAAAGATGGAAATCTCCAAATCTGAACAAAAGAAACCAAAACTATCTGCACGCAGAGTTACTCATTTGGGTGTAAGTTAATGTCATAGCGACGCTATTGCCTGTCAAACAACTTGAGGGAAGTCTTCTTAGTGGGTACACCACTTTGTGATTTAAGAAGATGAATTTGGGGTATTTTTGCGCAAATACAGGGCTCTCTGGTTGTAAAATCATGCAATCATAATGTTTCCTCTTTGGTCATGATGGGGACTTTAATGACGAATGGTCTTTGGCTCGTTGATTGGGAACACATCTGAAAAAAGACAAACATTGAAATGTAATTGGCTCCAAAGCACTTAAAAAACGTTTTACTTAATGCATTAACACACTTATGTAAATGACCCTTTAGTCCCTCTCTCTCTCGCTCTCTCCCTGTGTGGACGGTGGAGCTGACAGATAGATAGCATTCAATGTGGCTGGGAAGCAACAAGCCGCTTCCCATCCATCCCATCTGCCACAGATCTGGCTCAGTCCCCTTCGAGGACACCCAACTCTCTAAATTCTCGGAAATTTGAACTATGATGGTTATCCACAATCGCATCATGTCTTAAAGACTGGCCACATTCAAACACACATGAAATCAGTTCAGACATAGATGCAGACTTGAAAACATTTTATAAAGCTATTTTTTTTCTTTAACTGCCTATTTGAATAAGAATTAATATAAATAATAAAGTACATTTGAAAATGTTAAAGCTTCTCTTGGTCAAAATGTGAAATCAAACTGAAATGTGTGAAAAATTGCCAACAGTAAGAACGAAGGGCATACTCTCCCCAATCCCCAATCGTGAACACCAACCCTGTTTATAAGCATGTATGAAGATATTCCTCTCTCACATAAACACACACAGATACAGTGGTGCAGGGAGGAATGCAGTGATGAGTGTCTAAATGAAGACAGATTACATGTTTGGGCTGTGCGAACACCCACAGATTCTTTGCGTAACCTCACGAACCACACTGTCAGTGTACAAGTGTCCCATCATGCATCTGGGCTGCTGCAATCTGACAGGAGCAGGGGCTTGGGGGTTGAGACTGGGGTTGGCGGATTGATTCCCAGGACATTTCTGGTCGCTCTAAGACTCCTCTGGGCTTAGTATTCAAAAACGTTTTAGACAACTAAATATGGATGAATCATTGTTTTTGATTAAAATAAATATTTATATTTCATGGAACTATATAGTGTACATCTATATATCTCGTATTTGTCAATAGGTCATGATATATTTGGGTAAAAAATAGATTTTTTTCACAACACTAAAAAAAGGAAAAACAAACTTTCAAGAGTTGGTGCTGCATGAACACCAACAGATCTCAAACTTGTACCTAGGCCTGGGTTTCTTTGTATGTTTTATACAAGGGAGGGACAATATGAAACTAAACTCAAATACCTTACATTTGCAAGAGCTCAAATAGAGGACAATTACAAAATTGATTGACTTGATGTCAGATAAGCATTTTGGTTGGTACCCAAGAGACACCGCAAAAGTCAACCAAACTATACTTTGGATTTGATGTACTTTGGTGGGGTATCTTTCTTATATCCAAATGTAACTGATTTAATTGATGCCGGTTTCAACATGGTAATCTTACTGTTTATTCATCAGTCATCAGACCATTTAAATACTCAACTTTTAAAGCTCTTGGACTTCCTTCTGTGTGTCAAAACTTTTCTTTGTTCCATGTTTTGAGGCTTTGGATCTCTGTCAGAGACTTTCATTTTACTGGCGCACGCACGCACGCACGCACGCACGCACGCACGCACGCACGCACGCACGCACGCACACACACACATAGAGGAAGGCTAATGGAACATTCGTCTTGTTAAAGCTAACAGTGCGTTCAGTTTTATACCATATCTGAGGGTTACCTGCCAGCACATGGCACTTATAAACCCTGGTGATAAAATGATATTTATTCCAGATGCACCCGCCTCATTCTGAGCCTTTCAATGCGTCTCCCATCCATTTCCCCCTCACACACAGACGGGCACACTTACAACACTCTGCTTTTACAGCTAAACACATGCTTAGGACAAGTGCTGGATGTGGCTGCTGCTGTTACTATGTGATCATTAAAATCTGTTTCAAGTGCAGATCTCTTTTTTTTTTTTCAAATCTCTGAATAATTCTGCTGTCTGAGGGTGCTTAAAAACACAGTATGATCCTTCCTTTCTGTTGAAACTCAAAAAGAGAGCTGCAGCCAGCGCGGTGAGGAGGAAAGGCTCCCAGTGGATCTGCAGCCTCAGATCTGTAACTTTCCTTTCAAGTCTTTCCGCTCTGCAGCAATAAGGAGGGCAGAGTGAGATAAAGGAAGGTCTGCGAACAGTGAGCGAAGAATGAAAGTTTGTCACAAAGGTTACCTCTCAAATATTCATACTTCCTTATTTGGCGACTTTGTTTGTCTTAAAAGCTGTGGGAATTTTTGCCCTGCACGCCCCAGAGTCTATTTATCAGTCTGAGTGCGAAGAGAAGTCTGGGTCTGAATCTGTTCTTCGACTGATCAGAAATGTCATCTACTGTTAGCCTGCATGCAGACCAACAACAACACTTCCTGAAAACAATGTGTTGGCACAGATGGGACTCAGAGAAGGGGGCTGAGAAAACAAACGATGCTGGACAAAAAAAGTTGACCAAAATTGCGCGAGAGACATTAAAACACAGTCCAGAGCTGCAGAGCTGGGACGAGTCGAACATGTTCAAGGCCACATTCCTGGTATATTATTTAACAACGTTTAAACCTAGACCTAAACGAGTGGGGAAAAATAGAGCTCACTTTAATTATACTATCTGGCAGATGTGTCACAGAAACATTAGTATCAGCAAGTTTTTCCAATATGATCTGTCTTGGAAAACATCATTTACAGAACATTAAATGCACAAAACATGCTTGGGGTGAGTAATAAATGGTGTCATGACTTAATTTTGATGCAGGTTGCACTCTGAATACACACTCTAAACACTGTCTGCAGCACAGTACTGTATAGCAGAGAATCACAGCTAAGCAATCAGTCAGCCGCACTACTGTACACTTTGATAACTTTAAATATATAATAAAATAGTGTTTAATTGAGATATTTAGTTGAGAAAATGGCTTTCTGAGTCAAATTTGACTCATAATCCTCACAGAAAAGATCTATTCTCAATCCAAAATCTTATCCAAAAACTTTAATGTTTCCATATATGGTAAAATGATTGTCCCACTTCCTTATAGGCTCTCTCTCTCAATTCACTATCAGTATCTCTCGCCCACCATGCGCTCTTCATCTCCTCCTCACCTCCCCCTCAGACCTTCATCCCTCCTTCTATCTCTCCTCTCCCTCGGTCTGTAAAGAAGACGGGAGGCATTCTTTCCGTCGTTTGGCAGTCGTGTGCCATGATGTCATCGCCGTGGCGACAAGGCAGACAGTAAGCAGATACATGCAAACTCGCCAGGCACCTGACCCCAACCCTGGCACACACGCATACACACACACTCGTGGGCTCACTCCTTCCTCAAACCACTTAAGGCCCCTCACTTTATCACACACACTAATGCTTGGTCTTAGATCACACACATTTTTCTGCACGCACACGCCAAAGCGGTTTCCCGTGTGTGCTGTGTTATCTCTACTATACTGTCGCCCTCTACAGTGTGTGTTTGTGTGTGTGTGTGTGTGTGTGTGTGTAGGTTCATGAAAAAGTTGTATGTCTATGTTCGTGACAGCATAACTCAGGGGCATTTCAGTGTGTGTGCATGTTCACAAGTTGTCTGTGTGTATTCAGGGCTTTAGGTGTGTGTAAGAATGAAGTGTGTGTGGATTCAGTCTGGTGTGACATTGGCCAGCCTCTGCCTAAGACAAACACGGAGCTATTTTAGAAATAATCCCCTCTCTCTCTCTCTCTGCTCTCTGTTTCCGACTGAACAAAGCAGCTCTCCATTGTTTGGTGTGACACTGTCCGCTCTGGTTACAAAGCAGGCTGCTTGGAGGACGCCAGAGCTCAAACTTTAACCCCGAGCGGATTCGGTTCCTGTCATGCTCGACCTCGTTTCTGAACGGGGAAGATTCCTCTACATGCTGGTTCTCAGAGCACAACAAGATATGTTCAGACCTTTTCAAGCTAGCTGGACATTTCCAAAGATTTTCTGAAAACATACTCCTCCCTTATTGGCCAGTTGTGAGAAACTGAAAGATTATTCAAGCAAATTACATTTGCACATCCATTTTTCTGGAAGGAGAGAGGACTTAGAAACATTGATTAAATGTCATATTGATGTAATAATGTGCACTAAATACCAACATTTGTACATAGATTTCTATCGTCCAGGGGAAACAAGATCTTAGAGCATCAGAGAATAGAGAAGGCATTCTGTTTTTTATTTTTTTTATTTTATTGGTTTGAAATAACAGAATAAAAAAGCTCAACCTTCTTGTTGTATTCTATTGTACCAGAAAATGGGACGAAAAAAGTGCCATAATAAATACATGTATTACTTCTATAATTTAGAGTTTAAGCTGTAGCTATCTGGACACAAGCTGAGGTCAGATCAATCTTAGCTGGGATGCCTCAGGGCAGGTAAAGACATTAAAACAGCCTCTACATAAAACATTGAGGATGTCTCAAAGGATGCAGCTAATTTTCCCCCCATTAGGGACCTTTTAGATTTTTGCTTTATTCTCTATCCAGACAGCAGTCTATGAATGTTCTGAGCG